AAAAAAAAAAAAAAAAAAAAAAAAAAAAAAAAAAGAATCCATTAAAAGTAAGAAAAAACTCAACAGTTTTACATGTTTACTACAACAAAATCCATGTAACCTATGTATACATCATCAACTCTAAGGAGGAAAAAGGCAGAAGGAAAAGATACTCACCTCAACACCAAGCAGGAAGCAAACTATGAAAATAGTGCGCTGCTCAATAATGCTCACAATATGAACAAAGGATAACAAGTTCAAGCAATGATCAAACTCTAGTTCCGTGTTGTATTTATTATAATGCTATGTCGTTTTGGCAATGCGTACCTTTTCTTCTTCTTCGCTAACTACGCTTTCAGATTCTGTCTCTTCGACAGTGTCCTGAGTCTCAGAGATTGTTTCTGTGTGAAGATTGCTGGCGAGTACACCATCGATAACGGATCTGGGAGTATTTGTGGCGTCGCTAGTGTTTTTTGCTCTAACAGAGTCAGAACCGGGACTACTGTTGCCTGAAACTTGTTCGTCCAATTGATTGGAACGATTCAAGGCATGACAATGTGGGCAGTAGTATGTAATGAATGGGAAATCTTCCCTCTTGACAAGTCCTACAGAGGATAAAAAAGAGATAAAACTACAATCATCCTTGTTCTGCGCATGTATTGAAGAAAAGAGTGTGTTGAAAAGGGTAGATAGAATAGGATCACTCACCATTGTGCATATGGCAGTTGCCACAGATGAGTGCATAAGACTGCATTGGATCCTCTCCGACAAGCAATGCAGCGATTCGAGCTAACCATCCTCCATCATTCACAGCTGGTCCTTGGGGATTGTAATGATCGACAACCAACTGATTAGCCTCAGAAGCCTGACGACCTTCAAATACTGCAGATCGTCGTGCAGCTTCATCATGATGATGCAACGAACCACTACCCGCGCTACTGGAACGGGAGTGACCTTGTTTTCTGTTCCGAAGCCCACCACCAGGTGGTACAAATTCAACGTCATTGCTCTTCCCTGACGGAACATTAAGATTTGATTCATCGCCCAAATGAACCTTTAAGCCTGAATCTGCTCCCAACTTGGAAGCCAATACAGTTGCAGCGGCTGCCTTTGCCGCAGGGTCAGGGTCATATCTCTGTCAGAAAAAGGGGAACATAAACTATCTATATGGATCCTCATCAGAAAAATCAAGAAGATGATGGGGCTATGAAGATCAAAAAGGGCTGCACCACTTTAGCAATATTGTTCAAACCAGTTGGAAACATGAGCCTCATAAACAAACAACAGTCATTCCCAGAATTAAGCTTTAAACCCCAAAAGACCATCTTGGTGTCATCTTATCATCAAATAAAACAGAAGATTTCCAGAGCTTAAGCAAACTTTACAAGAACATTTTTCATTTACTATCCACAATTGTAACAAAGAGGTTACATACTTGATAAGGAATAGAATATCAACCAACTTACATCAATATTAGCATGCGTCCATTTAGTCTAATAGTGATAGGCAGATATCGAAAATCCAATTTAACGACTTCCTAAAGTACGCAGTTATTTAAAAAACAGGAAAGTGTGCTTTGAAGAGTGTGTAAACTGATAAGGTTTAGATAGATAGATGGTCTCTTTAGATATGCAAGAGACTCAAAGATAAAATAAATCCCATGCTAAGAGAGGAAAATATAGTGGATAAACAGAACAGAATTACCTGGATGAGCTGCTGAGTAATGTAATAATTAGTCTTTTCCTTAAGTTCATCAATTTTAGCTTGCCTTTCAGCTCGCAGCCTTTCAAGAGTTTTCTGGTCCTTCCGATCACCTATTAAGTTGTCAAAAAGTTATAAATCCATCAATATTCAAAATTATCCTAATTTCCGACATGCCACCTGACCCAACCCGACAATTTGAGATAAGGTCTTAAACATCATCAACTGAGATCACTTAGTTAGATAATCATAACCAAGACAGGAGAATAAATCTCAAATTGCCTTTCAGTCGAAAGACAGACAAAATATCAATAGCAATAGAAAGAAGCAACACTACTAGAATCTAGATGGGGCTCAAGAATGTTCACTTCATATGTTCATTGTTGGAAGCAGATGGCAGATACAAGTGTTCATCAGTAGAACACCACCTAATTCTAGGCAGAATGCACAATCTTAAGAAAGCAAGAATTACAAGAGATATCCATCACTACAAACTAAGAAAAATAACAAAATAAAAACAGCAAACACACAACCTATTTTACAGCCTAAAAATTGTGTCAGGACACCAAGTAAATGGAAGAAAAGTCAGGCTTCAGACGGAGGTAAGTTAATTCTGATGCAACACATTCTCTGTAGCATTCTAATGTTTTATACCTTCCATCTAAAAATTTCTATGACAAACTGCGTAGAAAAATAGAAAGATTCCTATGGTGGAAAAGGTCTTTCTACGTACTTTCACCCTGGGAAACTGAATAAAAATGATAAACTGAATGACAAGTTACCATTGATGCTGCTATCTCATCATTTGTGTGCATTGTGTTAAAAACAGGATATAAATCTATGACATCTCTTCCTATATCGAGTTTGTCATAAAAAGTTTCAGCAAATTTAATATGTACTGTACTCACCCTTCATTGGTAAAATATTTTCTGGACAAGTCTTAAGGGGTCCTATCATCAAAAGAACTTTTTCAGAAAGCTCATAATGCTGGTCAAAAGCCACTCTAAACTAGTATTCTATTAAACATAAGACTATTCTTATTCCTGCTTTGGCCTTTGAGCTTCATCTCCATGCCCAGGAATCATGCACTAACAGCAAGCAAACTCAATCAAATTAGCTTCATTATTTTCCAACTCAAGCACACTCGATAACGGTTAACCATTAACATAATCGCTATTTAACAAAGAAATAAGATCAATTAAGACAAAAGTAAAGAGTAAGCACAGAGCATAATCAAACAGAACCCTCAAATACGTCAAGGGAATGAAGAAAAATAAAAACCCTATGGAGAAATGCCAATAATAGAAAATCAAGTAGAAACTTACACATTCTTGTGAAGCTAAGAAATGTCGTATAAGCCAGAGTTGATAATGCAGGCAAAAGAAACATGGGTAAAACTCTAAACGCCCTCATCTTCCAGTTCATATCTACAGCTCTTGTAGTTATGATAGCATAACAGACTGCAATAATCTGAAAATTGTAAAAATATATATATATATATCACTGAAAAATCCTTCAGGAAATCTAAATTAAATCCGCAAATGAATTCTTTTAGAAGTATGTACATTGCAAAGAGATGAACAGAGTTGGATGGACAAAGAAGTCTTATGTAGAATGCAATTCAGCCACATTGACACAAACTACCGCAAATGGTATAGAAAAAGCAACCTAACGTAGTCGATCAAAACAGTGGCAATGCTGGAAAACATACTATTACTAAAAATAAAATCGAAAAACAAGATTACCTCAAAAATGACAGAAAATATAATAAGATTTCTGGCCATTCTCCGCCAGGTTAGGGATCTACGCTTCAACCTAGCAAGCACAGCAGCTTCTTCCTTAGAAATGTGTTGAAGTCTCTTTTCAAAATCATCGCCACGTACTCGGAAGATACCATTCCAAAGCCGCGAGAAAATCCCCTGGGATTTCTTCTTCCCGGCTACATCCGCAACAGTATCCTTCTTCTCGCCTTCTCCCGCGGCAGCTTTTTCCTCGGCCATATCACAAATTACCTACAAAAATCACATATCATCAACACGAACACGAATACGTGAGAATCTAAATGAACATCCGACAAAAAAACAAACAACCACCGATTCTCCAGTGATTCAAGTAATTAAACACAAACGGATTGATCGACGAGTATCAGTTTCGCAAACAGAGTAAATTACCGGATGCGTAACATCCGCCGAACAGTCAGAAAACGAGAAGTATGAAGAAAAAAGCATCAGATCTAGAACACACCTGATAATCGTCGATCCGGATTTGATAACTTCAATGAATTGCTTCACCAATCGTCCTCCTCTCCGGATCACAGAGAGAGAGAGAGAGAGAGAAACAAAAATAAATATGAAATGGTAAACAGAGACCGTGATGGAGACGTAAAGCTGCGAGAAAATCAACCAGAAAGAAGATGGGAGAGAGAGGAACTGAATTCTTCGCGTAGTGAGCGTGTCGAGGGGAAATGAGAAAATTGAAAAAAAAAGAAAAAAAAAGAAAAAAAAGAAGGCTTCAAAATTCTTCAGGGCTCTCGCTTTGCTTCTTCATCTTCAGTGTTTCCTCCTCCCCCTAAGTTTCGTATTTTTCTCTCTCTTATTATTATTTTTATTATTTTTAATTTCTTTGCCTCGACTGGGCGGGCCCCACTTCGCACGTGCTCCACGACCTTCCAATTCCCAATTCGAACCCTTGCAATTTAATTCCAAAAGCCAATTATTTATATAAAATAAAAATATTTAATTTAATTTATTCAAATTATTTTTTAATCTAATCTTTTATTTTATATAGAATAATTTAAAATTCTAATCCCATCAATAATATATAATTTTTAGTTAATGAATGAATAACCATTGGGTTAATAATATTGGTGATTAAGTCATATATTAGGTTTTTTATATATATAATTGAGCCAATTTTAATTGATAAGATATTTTTATCGGTAAAATTTTGAAGCCTAATTTGTGATCGAAAATTGTTTTAAGAATGGTTTATGGGTTTTTTTTTTAATTAAAAATATATATATAATTTAGCAATATCTCTATTTTTTTTAATGGTATAAATTATAAATATCAAGTTGGGAAATAAAATGAGGTGGGAAATTATTTAATTTATTTATTTATTGTGACGAAGGAGTGGGAAATTATTGTTATTATAATAGGAAACTTAAATGAATAGAGAAATTTAATTATGACGACTCCCCCACCCACCGTTGGATATAAATTCAATACTAATTTTAGCGTCTATGCCTCCATCTATAAAAAAAAAATTAATTTATTGACTCTTCTTTTTAATTATATATATATATATCTTCATTTGCTTCAATTATAACATTTTAATTAATTTTCCAAATTGCATTAAACTAACCTCTAAAATTATTACACAAATAAAACCTCATTTTGTTAGTTTAGAAGTTAAATTTTGACAGGTAAAAGAATATGCCGCCATTGTTGAGAAGAAAGAGGGTGACTGTCACAATCAAAGCATTGAGATTATTTCCATTTTTGGAAGATTGTGAATCCTATATCTAATTCTGTTATCCCAAAATTGATGGGTTGCTATATATTATTACCATATATGCTTTGACTGTTGAGTCATACATTTTACCGTCGTAAAATGTAATGAAATTTAATATGCAAATAAGCTATTAGAGCTAAATCATTAAACAGTAAAAATCAGCCTTGAATTTCAATGTATAGTATGAATTAAATTATTACAAATTTAAAATACGTGAACTAATGGTTATAGATCGAAGTTCATGGACTAAATTATTACCTTCTTAAAAGTTCGAACGACCAAATAAAGTCTAACTCATGCATGAATGTATTGAATGTTTTCTAAGTCTGCTTATTTCAGGGTGAAAGTCATGAAATAAGATCAAAATAGAGTGAATAATCTTACTTGTAATGTCCAGGCTCTATGTAGTATCCTTCTCCTGTGAACAAAGCCATCTCTTTTCCTGCAAATCTTTTGGTCAAGAAAAGAAAGAATGGAGATTATGGAAGTAAAGTGTGGGGAATTTTAATTTACTTATTGCAGAATCTTGGCTTCGGGGACTTCCTTTCACCAGCTAGAAAATTCCACGTCGGTTGGGGAGGAGAACGAAACATTTTTTATATGGGTGTATAAATCTCTTTCTAGCCGACGCCTTTTAAAAACTTTAAAAGAAGCCTAAGATAGATTGCCCAAATAAGACAATATCGACTGGTAGTGGACTTAGACATTCCAAAATTCCAAAATTGTAGAGGTACAACATGTTCATTGCTAACATTTTTCTTGGGAAATGCCCCTAACTTTGGGTAACATTCATAGCTTTGGCAACCAATACGCCACATATTCACCCTCGGGATCGTACGTTTGCGCCTGACAAGTATATAATCGTTGTACACAGATTAGCATATACTAGAAAAGATACTTCCATAGGAAATGGGGGACTTGTAATCCAAAGAAAATTTGAGCCCAACAACGACGTATTGCCTACTTGACATAATTTTAGTCACTCTAGTGTCTTAGTCTACCATATCATAACCAATCCGATAAAGACACAATGAACAAAATTGATATGACCTATGAATGGCTTTGTAACAGTCCAAACCCACTTCTAGTTGATATTGTCTGCTTTGGTCCATTACATATCGTCATCAACCTCACAATTTTAAAACGTGTATACTAGAGAGAGGTGTCCATGCCCTTATAAGGAATGCTTCGTTTTCCTCTCCAACCGATGTGAGATCTAATAATCCACTCTCTTGGGGGCCAGCGTCCTCACTGGCACACCGCCCAATGGTTGGCTCTGATACCATTTGTAATAGCCCAAGTCCACCATTAGTTGATATTATCCACTTTTGCCCATTATATATCGTCGTCAACCTCACAATTTTAAAACATGTATACTAGGGAGGGGTGTCCATACCCTTATAGAAATATTTCGTTTCTCTCTCCAACCGATGTGGGATTTAACAAGTTGAATACCATTTATCCTGCAAGGACCGGTAAAAAAGAAGGATGTACTGTGCAAGTTTTTCGTGTTTCTACCTTGTAATTAGATTGCACTACAGAAATGTTGAACTCCTGCTTTGATCTTATTTCCTCTACCAACCTCCTAACTTTTGAGTCAACACAAACTGATTGTGGCACACCATCCAAAGAATAAGAAGGTGTTCTTAGAAGATAGATTTGCATTGTCTAGCACCTTTAAGAACAGCCATTCGCTTGGAAAACTTTTATAATGTACAAAATTCATTCAGAAGAAAATCTGCACTTACTTGCTTGGGACTAGCCAATGTGGTCAATGTAGGACTACTCCTCTCGATAATCCTCAACATTTTGTAGCGTAGCCAGGTCCTAACATCCCATTGATTGCTTGTTTCCTCATCAGTCGTGAATCCTAAATAGCAAGGGGAGAAAAGTAAAGAGATGCAAATGGTTGAACTCATCATTGGGTGTATCCATTCCTTGTACAATGTCTGGTTAATATAAAACAAGAAGAACAGGGAGCACCAATTTTCACCTTTTTCCAGAAGTTTACTCATAAATTCTGGAGAGACCTGCTTTCTCGCCCCCAATGAACCTCATGCCCTTAACAACCTGTAGAAAACAAATCGTTTGTCAAATCACAAAGAGAAAATTTGATGTAATAATAATAACCATATTAGAACAATCCTTCAAACATACAAGGATGGCTATTAAATTTTCTCAACTGTGTGGGCACCGAGGGCTTTTGCAAGAGAAGGGAGAATTTCTTCAGGCTTCCCATTATTGAATAAGCAAGTTAAGGCCAAGCATTCAACAATAAATTGTGCTCTCATTGCTGCCAGAAAGGGAGGAAATTATATAATCGTTGAAACGCTGAAATCTTAATTTTAAACAGCGATTCAACAAATAGCTTAAGAAATTTCCAGCATAATTCGTAACTTACTGCTACATAGCCATGAATTTTTTCAAAAATAGCCTCAATAATTTGGACTACAAGAAGAGAAGACGTGACCTAAACCCGATGAGCAAGAGCTCCATTACGCTCAAGTAGTAGTAATGAGCTATGAACATTACACGGAACAGAATCGCTTCATGATCAGTTACAACAAGTAATAGAACAAAAAATCCACCAGTTCAGATCTCAACAAGAGACGCATAAATTCAAACAAATTACACGATCATCTTTATCAGTAACAACAGTGAAGAAGATATTCAGAAACAAACCTCCAGTTTTAGGGAATCCGAAGTAGCAGGTAAAACCAAAAGATCTTGGATCAGCGGAATACACCGGCAACACAGCCTCGGGCGAAACCCAGGCCTTATACAGAGCCTCACTGTCCAGCACACGGAGGCCATTTCTGAACCAAACAAGGGCGATTCCTTTTCCTCTTTTAACACCCGAAGACGAAGGAGACGAATACCGCCGGAATAATTGTTCCGCAATCCGGTCCATCTCCTCCAATTCTAGGACGACGACGACCTAGAATCTAGCTTCGAGCTCGAATTCATGAACGAGATTCGTCGGAAAATTTGATAGCAAGCAGATTTCGAGGCAATTTGGGCCGCCGGTTTCAGAGAGGAAGAATTGGGGAGTGTTTTCAACAATTGAAGAGACGAGAATGGGATTCCATTCTTGAAATGCTGACACGTGGACTAAAGTTGCCCTTTGAAGATCTAATAAGCTGAGATGATGACACGTGTATTAAAGTAGGCTGTGACGTGGTGTTGTGTCTACAGAAGAACTTGCTTTGTTACGTTTGAACGCCAGCTTACAATTTTCCCGTTTAATAAAACGCGCGTAATTTTCAACCTGACCGTTTTCTTCGTTGTATACGAACGCCGTTTTAGAGGTCCGGTAATCCAAAATTAAAAGCCGAGCCCTAATTTAATATGCATTTTATAAATATTTTTAAAATCTAAACAATTTTTTTAAAAAAAAAGTAATAATAATAAATTGTTTGTGATTTTGAAATTTTGCTAAGAAATGAAATATGCTTTTCTGAAAAGGTGAAATATGTATTGAAAAAACCATGAAGAAGTAAACATAATTTTTAAAAACACAAAACTAACCTCTGTCACCTATTACAAATTTTCTTAAAAAAAAGTGAATACTGCTCAAGGGTTAGCCCCGGGGCGGAACTCCCCTCACCCTTTTCATTTTGATGAGCTGCATGTGGTACAACTACGTTAGATAGGGAAGACGATGCCTCATCCGGTGATAAGAGACTATAATAATGAAATGGAACTAAAAATACATGGACCAAAATGATATTTAAACTTCTAAATATTCATCCCGACATAATACTAAACTACAATAAAGCGTCTCTTCGAAGAAAAAAAAAAAGATACGAAAATACCATACGAACACTGCTACTAATGATGGTACTTCTGACCCTTCAGAATAGTCCATGACCTAAAAGAATACATATATTCAGAATAAGCATTATATAATACAAAAAGCTTCGCAGATGCAAAGATGGTGCATTGTTAGTTTTGTGTGCTTTTCAGGGTTGAACTGAGGTTTGAATAATCTCTAGGCGGAGATAGAGAGAAAGAGGAGCATCATGATTCTTGGCTGATTTGAGCAAAACTGAAAGTCCCACAGTATTTTATATGTCTAACCTCTTGAGTTCATTATAAACCAGAGGTTCATTATTCGCCGAGATTCTCAAGAAAAAAAATAGAGATGTCTCCTACATTATTCGTAATATGAGGAAGTATCGACGTAATTTCATAATCATTCGGTCTGAATGCTATAAAAAGAACATAAGTAAGATGAAGAAATGGGAAGACCTAGGATGTAGAAGATCATAATCTGAGTAATTCGGGGATTTGGATTCCTATATATTCACTCTGCAATACTTAATACTTGTTACTTTATTGTACTAGATCACATTAATGTAAGTGGATACTCCACCCAACACATCATTTTGGGAAAACTTTGCTTGAGGAGCATTTGATGTTGCAAATGAAACGCGAAATGCACTAATGATTAGAAGAGAAGGAAAAAAAAAAGTACCTGTAAAGTTGTTCCATAAGCACAAGTACTGCAATTTGATGATTTAAGACCATGGAGGACAGCTTGATCGATACGTTAGCTCGTTGTCGCAGTTGTTGTCCATGGCCATAAGGTCCACCAATGCAAAATGATAATCTTGAAGCACCCTGCAGAGAAGAAGAAACATAAGAAATGCCATTTTCATTCTGGGATGCACCCATAGTTCTAACAAATTTGATTACAGAAACAATTAAACCATGGTGATTAATACAAAACTTTATTAACATCAAATTAGAAAGCAGGAGACTGTTACATATTAAGATCTAGACTGACATGGAGGTGGAACATGTGGGCTGGTTTAACTTAGAGGTGCCTCAAAGCAAAACTCTCAATTTCTAGTCCAAACTCCTCGGGTCCTGTTTGATAACTATTCTGTTTTTGAAAATTATGTTTATTTTCGTATCATTTCTCTTGAGAAAACAAATTCTTGGCCAAGATCCAAAGACAAAAACACGTTTTTGAAAACTAGTTTTCTTAGTTTTTCAAAACTTGGCTCAATTTTTAAAAATAGATGTAACAAGTGGATAACAAAACAAGGAAATCCATAGGTGGAAGTAGTATTTATAAGCTTAATTTTCAAAAACAAAAAACCAAACCAATCCGTTCTCAAATGGGGCTTTAGCAACTAACTTTGAACTTTGAACTATTAGGAATCAATCTAGTAAAGATGAATTGATGATAACAATGCAACCCATTGATTTGAATTGGAGATGGTACTCACTGTATTGCCTGCATCTGCCACCAACTCAGCCATCTGCTCGGAGGATATCTCTTTCCCATTCTCATCCAACATCACAACCTGAAGGTGCATATGCAGAATGGATATGGTACACACTGTAAGCAGTAAGCACGACCATTATAAACTATTTTAAAGATCAGTTTTAGAAGAAGGGCTAAAAATAAAATCAAAGCACATAGCAAACTATATTTCTTTTCTGAAAAAGAAGCACTATGATCCATGTTTTTGAAGTAAAAAGTACAAGAAATCAATGTTCTTTCACACTTTAGCTGGCAAAAGAATGATGTAATTGAGGGATGGAGAAAGAGATTTGTAACAGTCCAACCCACTCCTAGCAGATATTGTCCTCTTTCGGCTTTCCCTTTCAGGCTTCCCCTCAAGGTTTTAAAACACGTATGCTAGAGAGAGGTTTCCACACCCTTACAAAGAATGTTTTGTTCCCCTCTCCAACCGATATGCAATCTCACAATCCACCTCTTTCGGGGCCCAGCATTCTCGTTGGCATTCGTTCCCCTTTTCAATCGATGTGGGATCTCACAGGGAAAGCTCTAAACTAGTTCTAAACTAGAGAGAGGTTTCCACACCCTTGTAAAGAATGCTTTGTTCCCTCTCCAACCAGTGTAGGATCTCACAATCCACCCCTTTTGGAGTCCAGTGTCCTCTCTGGCATTCGTTCCCCTCTTTAATCGATGTGAGGTCTCACAAAGAGAGTTCTAAACTAGTTATCAAATAAAAGAGCACAGCCAGAATAACAAAACTCGTAATGATTCGACGAAAATGAATGTTATGAGATAAACCCAATCGTCGGACTTGAGAAGATTCACAACAGCTATGTCTTCATCATCAACCTGAGCTCTGGCATCCCTATAATACAGGAACGAATCATAGAATGAAAAGCATTCATTAAGATTAGCATCATTCATCAGAGATTGAAAGTTCGAGAGTAAATAAGAAGACTGATAAATGAAAACCAACCGTACAATCACATACCGCGTATTTCTAGGATTTGATCGCAGTTGAACATCTTCCACATTACAGTAGTTATTGAGCTTGTCAATATACTCATCAATGAGAAGCTGAACGCCACGAGACCTCTTCTTCCCCACAGTTAAAACGCGTATCGGCACCGCTCTCTGTTCATTGTCCATAAAAGCCTAATCTCAGTTAAAACTCAGTCATCCAGAGCCTCAATCACACTGAAATCTCAGCCAAATATATCAGATATTAACAAAATGGAATTGCAAAACTCAACTAAACGCCAATCGAACGACTGAGACCGTAAAAAGGAAAAAGAATCACAACGAAGACAAAAATCACACGAACCAAACAACGAAACTAAATTTACAGAAAGAAACAAGAAATGTACCACAGATTGACCGGTGTACTTGCAACGTCCAACTGAAAGCTCGAAATCGGAGAAACATTACACAACGCCAGTAAGAACATAGACGAACAAAACCTAGGTCAAATTCTAGGGGTTTTTTTTTTTCCATCTCTTGTAGAGAAAACGATGATACCTGAAGGAGAAGCGGAAATGGTAGCACAGAGAGCAGTAACCATTGATAAGAAGCCGATTGCAGAAACCAGACCCCTCGGGCTAAGACGGAGATGACGACGTGTCAGTTAGCAAGTTGCCCCCGTGAGAAAAAGAGAACAAATTTTATTAAAATTACGAATTTTGCGACAATTTTATTTTGGCTAAATTATATAAAATCCAATTTTGTCTCAATGATATTCAAAAATTTTCATAAATATATATTAAAAAAAATCATAATTAAAAAAACCGTTAAAAAAATATTTAAAAAAACGTCAATATTTTTGTAGTACCCTTATATTTTTAAATATTTTAAAAATATCTCAATTTTTTTTAAAAGAATACTCCACATTTAAAAAAGACAGCTTTACACGACACCTACGAAGATTCTAACCATAACCTAACTAGTACGAGATTCTACAACCGGGCAAGAAAATAGAAGGCCTCCGCCCGTTACCATCACATTAAGGACAAGTTTTCTTATCTCCACAATCGAGTTTGAGATTGTCACCTCCTGATATAGGCAAAAGTCGAGGATAATACTGGACAAACTATTGAGGTAAAACGTCCTTTTTAAAACATTTAATTAACGAGGTCTTAACCTCATTGTGGGTAGACTCGAAATATAACCATTTTTTTTTTTATTATTATTGAGGTGTGGCTCCACGTTTTTTATCGAGTTTTGTGTGGCTATGGAGAACTCGAGAACCTATCAAAGCTTCTACTCCATTTAATAAAACGTCCTTCCTCTACAAGTAATTTGATCTATTTTCAATTCAATTCAATTCATCGTTCGATTGCATTTAGAGATGATTAGGAAGGAACACCACTTAAGGTTGAGTGCTCAAAAGAGAACATGAAGAACAATATGGATATCAATGGTGAAGATGACAAAGGACAATAGGGTGCATGCGACGACACACCGACACCCGTCAAGAGGTAATATCTTTTTCGAAGGATGACAAAAATGGCAAGCAAATTTCGATGAGATCGGATTCACGGACGAACACTTTGAAAATCTGAATATATATAATCATTTGATCGAGTTAAGTAGAAGAAACTTAAAATGTAACTTCTATTACTAAACTATGATTTGCAAAACAAAGTTAAACTATACCCACAAACATTTTATTAAAAAATTAAAATTATAATTTATCAGAACATTCAATTATAAACTCAATTCAAATGGATTGCAAACAAGTTTTCTAAATTTAGATGATAAAGAAACAGATTTAGAGGAAGGAGTGTTCAACAGTCAGGCAACTCAACATGATTTTCTCATCTTCATCACTATGTCCAAATTTCAAACTATGAATCAACAATTTTCCCGGAAAAGAAAATTTCAGTGAGAATTTTACTGCCAGCCAAACAAACAGAAATGAGTACTCATACCTTTCAGCTGCTATAAAAATCCCGTTCCATCGTCACTGTGATTCAACAAGCTCAATGGTCTCGGATTTGGAGTGGATGCATTGAAAAAATTGAGAAAACAAGCAATCATTGAATAACAATGGATTCCAGAGCTATTTCCACTGCCGTTCTTGTGAATTTCCTCCTCTTATCCGCCGCATCGGCTTTCAATATCACTAAGCTCCTCAGCCAGTTCCCTGATTTCACCAATTTCAACGATTTACTCACACAAACCAAACTCGCCGATGAAATTAACAGCCGCTTGACTCTCACCGTCCTTGGTCTCGACAACGGTGCCGTTTCTAGCCTCTCCGGCAAGCCATTGGACGTCGTGAAGCGGATCTTGAGCGTTCACGTTCTTCTTGACTACTACGATACTAAGAAACTTGCAACATTGGCGAGCGATAATACTTCCGTTCTCACCACTCTGTTTCAGACCACTGGCATCGCCATGAATCAGCAAGGTTTTCTCAAGGTTACGCTGACTAATGAAGGCGAGGTTGCGTTCGGTTCCGCTGTGAAAGGAGCACAGGCCGAGTCGAAATTGTTGAGATCTGTTGCTGCTCAGCCGTACAACATCTCGGTTCTTCAGATCACTTCTCCGATTCAGGTTCCTGGAATCGATTCCAAGCCAAGCCACTCCACTCCACTAGCACCACCACCGAAGGCGTCTGCTCCGGTCCAATCTCCTAAAAAGGCACCGGCTCCGGCCGCCAAGTCTCCATCAAAGGCTGATGCTCCGGCCGCCAAGTCTCCATCAAAGGCACCGGCTCCTTACGCCAAGTCTCCATCAAAGGCTGATGCACCGGGCGCCAGGTCTCCATCAAGGGCTCATGCTCCGGGCGCCAGGTCTCCATCAAGGGCTCATGCTCCGGGCGCCAGGTCTCCATCAAGGGCTCAAGCTCCGGGCGCTAGGTCTCCATCAAGTGCTCAAGCTCCGGGCGCTAGGTCTCCATCAAGTGCTCAAGCTCCGGGCGCTAGGTCTCCATCAAGTGCTCAAGCTCCGGGCGCTAGGTCTCCATCAAGTGCTCATGCTCCAGGCCTGTCACCGAAGTCCGCTGCCGATTCACCAGAGAGTTCTTCGCCAAATCCCGCTGCCGATTCACCGGCGAGCTCTCCGCCAAAGCCCGCTGCCGATTCACCGGATGCGACCGATGACGACAAGTATGATGCGGCTGCACCAGGACCTAGCGATGATTCTGGCGCCTCAAGCGGTAGGTTCATCGGAGCTGCAACAGTTCTGGCGGTGATCTCGTCGTTTCTGGCTCTCTGAGCGCTCAAAGCCAGTGCGGTCATACTTTGAAGATTGAGTTGAAAGTTATGAACTAAATCAATACTTCTGCAATGAAATCTCAAGAGATTGTTCCCCAATAATTTCATTTGTAATAGTTTAATTAAATATTTGAATTTAGAAAAAATTAGAAGTTTAGTTCTTTTAATTTTAAAAGATTCAATTTTGTTCTTATGATTTAATATTTATTTTTTTTATAATTTAATAAAATCTCATAAAAAAAAATTATATTATTTGATAAAATCCACGAATAATTACAATTTTGGAAAATGGGCCTCTAATTCCATTTAGGCCCATTTATATAGTTCTCTCATAGAATCGAATGTAAGATGTTGGGCTTTAATGGGATGCTGACGGCCCACGACGAAACTTACCAGCCTTCCCCAAGCCCAATATCTCCCCATTTCCCCTCTCTAGGCCCATAACTATTTACGGCGATGCATTTTCATTTAAAAAAAACAAAAAAGAAAAAGAAAAAAAAGTGTTACAATTTTGATCACAATGTTGCAATTTTTACACGAATATATAATGCCCACATCAATTTCAACATAAATTTACTAAGAAATTCAAAAAAATTTAATGAGGGGCGGGTAATGTTGTAACCGCTAAGCTCACCACTAGTAAATATTGTTCGTTTTGTCCCATTAGTATAATTCTCTTTCGGGTGGGTCCTGAACATTGTTAGTAAATATTTTTTGCTTTGTCCCATTAGGTATGATTCTCTTTCAAGTAGGCCCTGAATGGAGAAGGCTCGAATGCCAACCGACGTCTGTTATTGAATTCACCCGATCCGATAGTACCCCATTTTTTGAATGTCCAGTGTCAAAGCCATTGAGTGGTTAAAGTCGCCAACATGCGTCTATTATTGAATCCACCCGACTCAATAGTACCCCATTTTATGCGTCTATTATTGAATCCAAACTTAATAGTACCCAATTTTTTGAATATCTAGTGCCAAAATAACTGAATAGGTTACAGTACCAAAATCACTGAATGGATAAGTGGGTTATGAATTCGAGACAAGATCTTTTTTTTTTGTTTTAAATAAGGAAAATGATGAAAACATAGGTTAGAAAAGAATCAAAGAAATTGACAAAAGAAAATGTATAGTGGAGTGGAAGATCCTTCAACTTACACCCTAATACTCTTATCAACGTGTGCATGCATGCTGCAGGGACCATATGCCCATGTGATGCCATGTGGGGTAACAAACTTGCATTTCATCACATTTCTTTATATATTACAATGCTCCAACACTATCACAGACAAGAATCGAATATGCACCTTTGAAATCTAAACAATGAACTGACAACTCGACTTTTAGTAACTTGATTCTTTTATAAATAGTGCGTTCGGGAGAGAATTATACTGACCTTCAAAGAGACGATTTTTTTCCTTTGAAACACGAGTATTGAAGACCGTGATGAAAACTTTGTTTATGGTTCTTGTGTCCTTTGACATTAGGTGTGTGTACTCATACTGAAACCAAGCCCAATTTATACAAAATTAGGTGTTTTCTGAGTCTAATATATATATATAAAAAAATTATTAAATTATGTTTAGATGGACTCATTAATTAAAATTATGATTTTTTTTATTAAAAAAATGATTAAATTATAATTTATTGTAGGAGGTCTTATCCTAAGGTCAGAAATGTACTTTTAAGACAATGAGACATCCAAAACAAGATATTTATTTTGTTTTGATTCAAATTTGTTCCCAATTTTATTAGTTTTATATTTTAAAAATTATTTGCTAAATAATTTATTTAATTGTTTTTTTGCAATATTTTCTTCTGTTTATTTATTTTTAAATTTAAAGGTGTTAATTGAAAATTTGGAAAGTTTTTAAGTAATTTTAAGATAATATAGAATTTTTTTTTATTAAATTTAGAAAAATGGGCCTTCCTTTATTATTATCATTATAAACTAAAATAAATGTAAATAATAAATGGGGTCGATATTGATCACGTGCTACCCTGGCTTAATCCAAAAGAAATTAAAAAGGCAATAAAATTTGACGTCGGTCTATTATCCAGCGTGGCAGCATGCAGTTGGTGCGTCACGTGAAATCCGCGTGTCCTCTTCTCCCTCCCGGTCCGAGGACCTGACAGCTCAGCGTCACGTGTTATTTTTCCTGGGTACATCGTATCATACAAACCCGTTTCCATCACTTCTTTTTCGTTTCCTTCTTCCAAGTGAGAGTGCTTTGCTTACCCAAGTTAGTGGGGCCCACACTTCTATTTTTTTCCAAATAAATAAATAATTTAATTGGTTTTTTTTTTTTTTTTTTAACAAAAAATCAGATAAATTTATTAAACGAACTTTCATTCGTTCATTGATACGAACACTAAAACTAGACGAATGCGTTGAAAATTACAATAATAATAATATCACATTTGAATGAATATAATGGAGGAAAAAGAAGAGGAAGAGGAAGAGGAAGAAAATTAGGGTTCTCGAACGTGGAAGACGTTAGGGTTTTTGACGACGAGATCGTACATGTAAACGGAGTTGAATTTGGAGAACTCCATTGGAAGAGAAATTAGATCAATGGAAGAAAGCTTATGAAACTGGAAGAAATCTGGATCGCCTTCGTAATATCGCTCCCATCCTAAACCTTCCAGAATCTTCTCAAGGAATCCGTAAGAACAAACCGGCTGCCCCGACGGAAGATGAACCAGAACCTTCTTTCTTCCGCCGCCGCCGCCGCCGCCGCCGCCGGAGGAGGAGTAGTCCGCTCCGGTGCCGGTGCCAGCGCCGGCTTGGGAGTGTTCCACGAGGCGCATCACGCCGTTTGATCGGAAAACCCAAACGCCTGACATTTTTTTCGCGGTGATGGGAATCTCAAATGTGTTGGTTTGTTGGAATGGATTGTGATTTGGAGGGATTTGAGTGAGCGGTTTATATTTATAGGGGAGAGGGGATGGGAATTGTGGGCCCCACTGCTTGCCTCTTAGATGTTTTTTTTCCCTTCCCTTTTTGGGGTCTTAAAATGAATTTTCAAGAAGCTGTTCTTTTTTTGAGGAAACTTTTATTTAAATATATATTATAAATTCAACGAGAAATTTAAATATTTAATATTTAATAATAAGAAATACATCTCAAATTACCGTTATGTTTATGGTTTCTTTTATTTTTTCATTTAAATTATTTTTGTTTAAAATATCACCCATTTTTAAAAATAAAAAATAAAATTATTTTCACAAAGGTGGATAGTTTTTGGTTAGTTTCTCTTTAAATACTTTTATTTTTTTTTTCCTAAAAAAAAGAAAAAGAAAAAACTTTTTGATTTGTTTTGAGTCAACTTAGATTGAATTAATAGAAATATAAGAATAAGAAAAAAAGAAAAAAAAAAAGGAATTTGGTCCGAGAATAGGATCACGAGCTGACCACGTGATGGGAAGTGGGGTGTGGTGAGTGTAGGGTTAGTAAGGTAAAGGTGTTGGTGGGTTATGGGACTGAAAGTGACCTCCCTTTCTCATTCCTTCTTGCCCTTAGCTTTTCGCATTCTGTTTAAAAAGACTTGATTTTGATTCTTGAAATGGATGTACGGACGATAAGCGGCTTCCCAAACTTAGCCGAGGTCAAGATGGTTCGGGGTTAAGGCGCACTCATCATTGGATTGGATTTTTATTCCTTCTTAGTAGTCATTATTTTATTTATACATTTTTTGTTTATTTTTGTTCTCATTTTATATTTTATATTTTATATTTTATATGCTTTCCTTTCTTTAATATTCTCCTCTATTCATTATTATCCACTATTCATATTCATTTCTCCCTACCATTTTATGAGCTTCACATTTAAATTTTTTTTCCATTATAATATTAATTTTTAGAATATTAACATAACATTTTTTTTTTTAAAGAATAATACAAGCATACGAACTTTGACGGGAAGCATAAATATTTAAATTTGACGAGCTTTACGACAATTTTTAATCTGACCAAGAAAAAACTCACCTAATAGAATTTTTGGCCAAAAAAAAAAAAAAAAAAAAAGAGAAAAACTAAGTGAGAACCAAATTATGAGATTTAAAATCATACCAATTAAATAAATTAATTTTAATTTATGATATAAAATAATTAGAATTTCTTCCATTTACTTAACCTCATTTAATAACCCATCTATTTTATTTTTCGAAAATTAAATCTAGAAATACTACTCCAGAGTCTGAAATATATATATAATAATTTAGATCTGTTTCAAGCAAGCAACTAGAACATGTCCATATATTAAAGAAAAGGCTATAAACTTACCAATTCTATGCAGCAGCAGATTTGAAATGATACTCATCTATGGTGGAATATATCAAACCTTCATCTTCAAGAGACCTTATGGAGTCCCTGAAAGAAAAAAGAAAAAACAAAAAACAAAAATTGTATAATTTAATTGATTTTCATACCAACCACATAGGATGAGGATGGAAGAAGTTTACACTATTTTCTCCGAAGGAATTTTCAGTTGTTGGGACAGTTCATCTCTGTGCATTCCTCTTTCTTTTGCACTGCAAAATATAGTCAACAACTTCAAATTAAAAACACATTTTCTATATATATATATATATATATATATATGTATATATAGAGCCATTTATATTAAAGAATAATTTTTATATATATATATATATATTTTTTTTTTTTGTTAAAACACAATATTGGTTTTGTACCATGAATTTTGTTTTATTAGATTTCATAAAATTAGTCCATTCGAGGTAACTTTTATCAAAATTGATTACATAATAATAATAGTTTTCATACAACAAAAGATTTATTTTATCATAAGTGAATATTTGATTGAATGAAACTAAACTTATGACTTGTGTACTTAGACAAAATATATGCATTCTTTCGGTTAATCTCACGAGACAACTAAACTCGTACAGGGACTTATTAAAAATATTTGTAAGATTCCAATGAATGTGGCCCACAAGAAACTTAGAATATTGAGAACCTAAAGTCAAACCTTGTCTCCTTATTATTTTGTGCCAAGAGCCAACTAAGAGTGAGTGTCCTATGAAACCCATAATCAGAAGTGATCTGTGTCTAACACAACAGTCAACCACCGACCTAATGTCTGGTTTTCTATCCACAGAAGTTATAACTAGCAGACCACGAATGACTCAGTCACATCCAACCATGGAATTCAATTCTTTAATTCTAAAACCACCTTGTTCCCGGGCCAAAGGCAGCACAAGTCAACCTCTATTAGAATTGTTAAGGATATTTAGTAATAAATTATAGTTTACCATATATATTATATTTGATATTTTATTATAAGGCAAATATCTAATATTTGTCTTATTATCATAGATATCTTTCCATTTATTGTTATTTCCATTTATTACTATTTCCATATTCTTGTAATTCATTTGATTATAAATAAGATAATTTTCACAATGGTGTGATAGATTAATCAAACATTGTAAAATAATGCACTGGAATTAGCCAACAAAGAAGACAATCCAAAAAGGAAAAGAAAAAATGGTCTGGGACAACTTACACGCTGGAGGGCAGATAGTCAAGGACCAATTCGTCACAGTTCGTTTTGACATCAACAGTGTGCTGCTCAGAAGACTGCAGAAAAAAGCTATTAGATTATATTCCAAATTGTATAATCATCCACCAAATATTACGTGAGATACCACGTTGGTTGAAAAGGAGAACGAAACATTTTTTTTAATAGGGTGTGAAAATCTCTACTTAGCAGATACATCTTAAAATTGTGAGGCTGACGGCAATATCTGTTAGCGGTGGGTGGGCTTGGACTGTTACAAATGGTATCAGAGCTAGACACCGAGTGGTGTGCCAACGAGAATGCTGGAACCCCAATGGGATGGATTGTGAGATCTCACATTGGTTGGAGAGAATAATGAAACATTTCTTATAAGGGTGTGAAAATCTCTCCCTAACAGATGCGTTTTAGAACTGTGAGGCTGATGGCTATACATAACGGACTAAAACAGACAATATCTATTAGCAGTGGGCTAAGGCTTTTACCTATTAAAGAACAGTCACACTCATGATTAAAAATCTTACTAGTCCTGAAGATGCTGTCTGATATCCACTCGAGCCACTCTGCACTGCAGGCTTCAAAGATGAATCCGAGGATTGGAACTGTGTCGATACATCTCCTTTGGGCATCAATCAGTTTCAGCACAAATGAATTTAGAATTCTAAAATTCACTTATAACTAAAAAGAAGTTAGAAGCAGAACTATCAACGTGAGGTCCAGCAATCAGTACCTGTAACTTAGAATTCCGCAAGTGGTCATGTATGCATTCAATAAAGTGGAAGGTAATTTCGTCAAAATTTGTAACAGGCCTGGAAAAAACCATAGCCAAATTCATCATCCCGTTAGTTGATCAAATATACAACCGGAAAACAAAATTTGGCATTGAACGGTTTCCAACATCCCAATAATCACTTGAGATTGGTCACTACCAATAAACAATAACTACCTAGGGACCGAGGGTGAAAGAAAGAACACTTCATAGGACAGTAGATTCAAGAACAAACTTTAGGCAATCACAAATTCACAAAGAGAAACTACATAACACTAACAAGATATTATCATTAGAACTCATTTGATGTGGAGATCCCGAGTTTCAGCATGCAATAAAATCACCAAGCAGGATGATAGCCTTAACCATTTAACTTCAAAAGCATGCCCAAACGCATGAAATTAGATTTAAGAGAATTAAAATACCATACCTTACAGAGAATGCAAATATTTGCTTGTTACTTTGAAATATTTTCAAATGCCCAATTACCAGTACATATATTCCATCTCTATGCCATAAAAAATTCCAAGAAAGGGTCATAAAGACTACTTAAGTATTTATCATCACAAGAGAAGCAAATTGGACAAGAACTTACTGTATTTCATCCATTTGCTTAGTGTCAAAAGTATCGTTTACCCTGTATAAATTTTGACAAACATTCTTCAGTAAATGAAGCAGATTTAGTTCAAAGGCTTAGGAAGATTGGAACTGCAACAGTATACCATCTTTTGCAGCCAATTCTTCCTGTTCCATCATCTACAATGAATGTGATGTCAGTATTCCTTTCAGCTTTCTCAGAGACCTTCCCAACGATTGTAACCTTTTTCCAATAACTAAAATATCAGTATTTACAACAAAGAGAATTTACAAATATTCAAGAGACATCCTCAAGCTATAAAATGGACCCGAATTAAGGTGAATGGTAACCACATATGAAATGAAAAAGAGTCTGTAGAAACTCAAGAACTACAGACTACAAGAAATACATACAAACACAAAGGATCAAGTCTCAAGGAGCCAGACATGGTCTTCTAAGAAATGATATTTTTCATGAAGAACTGAAAATTTATATGTTACTTACACAAACATTTACTTCTGAAAAATATGGTTGGATAATTTTTCACACTGCAAAGCTTTCAGATTAATAAAATTTGTAAAACTAAACTATACAACCTTCCCTTTGCATTGCAACATTCAACACTCTGCTAATGTCCATGCTTCTTTGGGTTAAAAGGTACAGAAATCCAACCAGCGACTAGACTAAACCTGTAACAGTAAAAACCCACCGGTAGCAAATATTGTTCTCTTTGAGCTTTTCCTTTCGAGCTTCCCCTCAAGGTTTTTAAAACGCATCTACCACACCCTTATAAAGAATTTCGTTGCTAGATTTTCATACCTTTGTAAAGATTTTCGCTCTCCTCCCCAACCGATATGGGATCTCACAATTCAAGAATTTGGGAGTTGGCAAATAAATCATGTTTTTCTTAGAAGTTGGAGTCTAAAGGGGAGCTCGATCTTTAAGGAAAGAAGCCCAAAATCAATGAAAATTCTGAAAACTCTTACGAACATTGAAGCATTGCTAGTAAACTACATTGACAGATATAGTTAACATAGATTTGATTCTGAACTGCAATTTCTCGCCTATGATCTGTTTGCTACACTAATAAATATACACAGCGACAGTAGTTTCTAAAAGTGAGAGAGAAAAGCAAGGAAGCATACATTTGTAAAATCGACGCCGTTGATCACAAAGTTGGCCTTCTCTTCGCCAGAATGGGAAGTTTCACTTATCTGTTTTACCGTTACTGGAACCACGCCCGGCGTTTCTCGACTCTGCGTTAAGAATTAAACGATGCATGAAAAGAAAATGGTAGAAAATGAAACGAACAGTTATCAAGTACCATCTTATTCACAGATTCTTCTCATTTTTATTCAATACCACCAATTTGACAAGCAAAATATTGTCTACGACCGAATATTAAATAGGATAACGATTATGAGTTTGATCTTCATTTCTAGAATTTTAACTCTGCTCTGAACGCACCTAAATATACTCTGATATTCTCTCTTCCAGCGAATGAAAAATGAATTAGGTTCGCGTTTTCGCCGGATTCTAGCTATCCAGCAGCTTTTACGAGTATAGATTCCTTGAGAGCGAATTCTATACTGCATTTTCGAAATTCTCTCTCGATCGAGCAGAAATTTAGAGTTTAAAGCAGACAAAGAGGAGTCATTGATCTGAGAGGACGTAAACGCACTGCCGGAATCAAACTGACTGCTGGAGAACATTCTTCAAACTTCAGCGAGTAAAAACTTAATGAACAATCAACAAAAAGATGTGAAAGAATTACGATGCAAATATATGAACTACGAAGTATAAACTCTTACACTTCCCGCCATTATAGAATTCCCGCCCGATCTCGTGAGCAGTATTGTCGATCCCGAGCCAGATCGGGTTCGAAACGACGAAGAGCTACAAAGCCCAATGAATTCACTTCTGTCCATGCAAATTCATGGGCTAGCCTTGTTTCGTTGATCCGCCATGGATGTGAAAATAGTGCAAATTTTACCGTGTGTGCCCTTTTATTTTAACTAATTTTCAATATTTTCCCCATAAGTTTTAATATTTCAAATTTAGACTCTTTAGTATGCGTTTTTTTTGCAGTCTTATTCCATGAGTTCTAATGATATTTTATTATTTTGTTTTCGTTTTTCTATTTATCGTCTTTTTTTTTTCACTATTTTTCAGTAATGAAAAATAAAGTTGATGGCAGCCCTTTTTATTCATAGTATTAACAAAAAATAAAATAAAATAAATAAATAAATAAATATATATATATATATATATATATAATCGTGTTTCCGAAGACATATTATTTACACACATACGGCAATTAAATTTCATTGACCAAAAATGGATTATTCGAGTTTAGAGTTTAGGGAAAGATGATGAAGGTAGAAAGAAAATAAATTTTTTATTAAAAAAAAAAAAGCTCTACATTTTCTATAAATTTTTTTAAAATTTAATAATGACATGAAACATAATAAAAATAAATAAATAAATAAAAACTTAAAAATCATTAACCGATATTTTTTATTTTTTTTATTTCTAAAAAGGTTGGTTTCTTTTTAAGTTGTAGGAAAAAAAATTAAAATGATTGATTAAAAAGTTGAGTGAAAAGTTAATTTAAAAATCTTTTTAAAAGTTCAAATGCATTATTTAAACAAAATATTAACGACTTGCTTTCAAAATGGTTTAGTATTTTTAAAAGTTCAAAAAGGTATTTTTATAACGTTTTTTAATATTTAATAGTATTATTGAAGCTTTTGAAAATTGATATTTTTATTAATTTAACCCAAAAAAAAAAAAAAAAAACTCATATATTTGTAATAAAAAATTATTTGTCCTATTAGCTCACTAACAAAAAATAATAATAATAATAATAAATAAAAATAAAAAAACTGACAGATTGCACTCAATCAGCCCTAAATTCAATCAAAGAAAGAGTTAAACCATTGTATACATTAAATTAACATCACAGTTACCAAGAGAATCTAAAATTGCATAATACCAGTAACGTCCCTCCTGCACGAAACACGAAAGGTGTAACGATCTGTTCATCGTAAAAACGAGAATTATAATGTATTGCAAAGTCTGCCGAGCACCCCGTTAGAGCCGATTGTTCTTTGTATCATAGGCATTTTAATTATAATGTAATGTAAGGCTAATAACATACCACTAGTATGGAACATTATTAGGCAGGTTTCGGATTACGTTGTTCTTCAATCCGACTTTGGTACGCATGGCTTCCAATCCGGTTCGATTAATTTCTTTCATCACCTTTGTCCTGATCGTCTTCTCCCTCGACTGGACAGTTGCCAATCCCATGCTCTTGTACCTGCATACCAAAATGGCAATTTCTCATCAAACTTTTGTAACCCTCCGATTCAATCAAGCTATCATATTGTACGGAGTTGTTCGGTGCATAATCAAATCGACAATAGTAGTTAATCGTGATATTCTTTTGTGGGTTCGTATTTTTTTATCAATGAAAGCTTAATTTCTTAAAAAATATGGAAAAAAAAGGTGTCGCGCAAGTATGTAAGGAGTTTTGCTTATTTTTACCCAGCATATTCAGACAAGAAAAGACAAGAAAGACTCTTTGGCATGTAGGTATCGTGCATGTGAGATCCCACATCGGTTGGAGATGAGAACGAATCATTTCTTATAAAGGTGTGAAAACCTCTCCCTAGTTGAGGCGTTTTAAAACCTCAAGGAAAAGTCTTGAAGCAAAAGTCCAAAGAGGACAATATCTGTTAGCGGTAGATTTGAGCGGTTATAAATGGTATCATAGCTAGACATCGACAGTGTGCCAACAAGGACGTTGGGCCCCCAAGGAAGGTGGATTGTGAGATCCCACATTGGTTGGAGAGGAGAACGGAGCATTCTTTATGAGGGTGTGGAAACCTCCCTAGTTGACCTATTTTAATACCTTGAAGGGAAGCCCAGAAGGGAAAATCCAAAAATGACACTATCTGCTAGCGGGCTTGGGGGTTACAGTGCCACTCCGAAGTTTTTAAAGATTTTTATAATTGTCCTAGAACTTATTCTCGTTGAATTTCTTTTTCTACGCTTGTTTGTTTATATTATAGCTGAAGGCCTCATTAGAAGGGATCAGAACATACCTTGCTGCCAATGCAGCAGTTATGGCTGCATCATTTGCAGGAGATGGTCGTGGTTTTTGACGATAATAACGTAGAAATTGCCTGGAACCAAGCGTTTTGGTCGATTGCGGATCGCTAGTTCTTTGAGCTAAGATGAGCTCAGCTCCACCACTACCAAGCTGAACAGAACTGGCCCCATCCCCCGATGCTACTAGCTGGTTGCCACTTCCATCCACATAACTATATGACAACACCATAGAAAATGAGAAGCAACTCAACTCAGGAACCGTGTTTATTTAAAGCTATGAGGACTGTAAATTCAAGAAACAAATTGATGAGCACCTGCTACTGTAGTCATAAAATTCTTCCAATTCTACTTCTTCGTTCTCATCTCCATCGCCATAATGCACTTTGCAATGGCTTTTCGCTTCCATATGCTTCCTAACAGCTCCAAAGCTGCTAAAAGGAAGACAATTATCGTTGCAGTACAGACACCTAAAATCCCTCATCACCTGGAACAACGTGAAAGAAAAGTAAATCGACTTCTGATTTTCTTGAGCAAAAAGAAAACTGAGAAAAGGGTATATCTCGTTTTGGCACCTTCAGACCGAGGTATGTAAGGAAGCCTTTCGGATCCTTCAAATATTCAACATCAGGAACAAAGAATCCATGTTGTTTATGCATGTGAACCATGCAGCTATCGATAGTATCATGCTCTAAATCACACATGAAGCAGCACGATGGATCCAAGTCCATCTCAATGGCATCAGAATCATCGTCCTCACCCTCATCGTCATTCTCATCGATCATGTCTTCATCAGAATCAGCTTCTTCCCACTCCTCACTCTCTTCCTCATTTTGTTTGGGCACCCTATTAGAAATTCGCTGAGGAAGGGGCTTAATAATTGGCTTTTCAACTTCTTGATCATGTGTTCCTTGTGAAGCTCGGATGATGTGACTCTTGGATTTAAGATGTTGGGCATGAGCCTGGGCACTCCTATAAGCTTTGCTACAAAGGCCACAAGAGTATGACATTGCGGTCTCTGATTTGGCATTCTCTTGTGCAGCAGCAGCAGATTGTCTAGCTAAGAATAATGCCTCTGTAACCCCAGGAACATTAGCCACCTGGTTTGTTCACAAGATAATTACATAAATAATACAAGAACGGTGGGTTTTCAAATCCTTCCCAGAGACGCTTCCAAAACACTCAAATAATACGGCCAGTTCAATGTGGCATTGTCAACAAATTATTACCGTTTCAAATGCCTATGGCATCCTAGATACATTCAACAGAATGAAATCTAATGAGTTTTTCCATAGAACTGCTTAACAACCACAAAGAGACTAATTGGAGTCACAGACTATTATTCCCTCTAAGGAGTCCGTGTTCCCGTGTTCATCAGATGAACCCTCAAAACAACATCCAGAATTTTAACAAATTCCTTGAAAAACTTAAACCCGTTTAAGGCAATTTCCTGACACTGTATGAGCAAGCAACAGCAGCTAAGGGCACTGAAATTAAAAAACTAAGCATCTCAAAACACGAATAATGCTTTAGAACAATCATTTCAGCTGATCTTCATAACAAAAGGAGTAATGATCGATAAAATCTACCCCGAAATACAACATATCAAATATTCGCACCTAGATTTTTAACCAAAAAAGAAAAAGAACAAGACGAATGCTAGCGAGAAAATTGAAATAATCAGGCAAAAATCGCAGTTCCGGAAGCAAGAACCAACGCCCAAACAGAAATGAACAAAAAATAAAAAAAAAAAAAAAAAAAAAAGACATAAAATTATGAGCATGACACATGCGTTACAGACAGAGATAGAAGGAGGACCTTGCGCTTAAGATTGTATCGATGCCATTCGGATTTGTAGTGAAGCTTTTGCTCCTCGGCGTCTATAAATTCTTTGTTACAGGCATTGCAGGTTAGCCCCGGCATCTTCTCTCTGGCACTAATTCTTCTCCGCAATTCTGATTCTGACTTCAATCGATTCCGAGAACGAAACAATCAACCAACAATTGAGAGAGGGAGAACAAAAACGAAGAAAAACGATATGCAGAGGCGGGTTGAAGATAAATAAGAAGAAGGTGTCGCAGAGAAAGAAGCAAACGTTGCCGACGTCTCGTGGCTCTGAACAGACGCATGCTATTGCGTCACCCGCTATGGGCCATCTTTGGGCCTTCGAACATTGGGCCCTAATTTGGGCCTATGGGCCTCTATTTTGGAGGCTTGCAGCCCACTTATGTGAAAACTTGGCCCAGTTACTCTATAATTGGTAGATGTCCTTTCACTTCCCATGATTTATTTTTGGGAAATTACCCTTTTATTTTAATTTTTTTTAGGAATAGGTGCATTTGATCCTAAAATCTCAAAAATAAAATAAATAAATAAAAATAAAAAGCTCATTATATTAATTTTTATCTATTTGCTAGTAAATTATTTAGACTAAAATTATATATTAAAAATTAGTTAGATTGAAAAATAGAGAGTTCAAGGGTTAGAAAAAAAATTATGCCAACTTTGTTTCCATAGGATTTTAAGAAGCACGGGTTGTAAATAACGACGAGTAAATTAAAAGAACAAGTTTGTCTCGAGATTTGGGTTTTCGTAAATCGAAGTAAAAGTCGTGCCAACTTCGTTCCTGTAGGCTTTTGAGAAGTCCGGGTCATAAACAATAACGAGTAAATCAAAAGAGCACGCTTGTCTCGGGATTTAGGTTTTCGTAAATTGGACTTGCGACTTTCCAAAGTAAAAATTATGTTAATTTCGTTTTGATAGACCTTCGAGAAGCAAGATAAATTAGTGAAATTCTAAGAAATAGTGTCAAGAGTCGGGATGCATATAAGGTAGAGATGTCTACAAGGTGAGAGCTTTCTCCATCCCGTCCCGTGGAATTCCGACCAAGAATTTTTTTTTTCATCTTCCCATATTTATATATATATTTAAAAAAAAAAATAGACAATGTCTATTTTTTTAATGTAATTTATAGTATACCTAATAAATAAAAATATAATATAATGTCGGAAATTAATTTAAAAAAAATAAAATTTCAAAAAAATATCACAATTATCTTTGAAAGCTAAATTGTGTATTATCCATAAAATAATATAACTTAAAATTTAAATTTTGGGATAATCAGTATTAATATAAAAAGAGTGGTGTTTTCAGCAACACTTGAAACAGTGGGATTTACGGACAAGTATGATCGAGCAGTATCAGATTCGTACTCTGCAAGTTCAAGGGGGTTCAATAACGCCATGATCGATACCTTCGACTGAATCTCACAGCCAAACCAAGTGCCCATGGCGCCGCCGACGGACAAACCGCCGTAGGACGAGAGGCAGCCACCGCACCACTGCCGGAAAAAGGTCTCAGTCATCAAATGTCGCATTTGTCTTTACAGGCTTCAAGGTTCTTCGATTTTTCGATTCTTCATATATCTGTTTGTCTGCTGCGACATGGAGAAATCGGCGAGAAAATACAATAAGAAACTAACAATCAGGTCTCGGAATCATTTAAACATGGCGATGCACTTCTAATTTAATACTACTTTTTCTCTCTGTTCGTCTTGTAGAATTCTGTCTCTGTGTGGAGTTCGAGAATCCGAAGTTTCTACAGTTGCGGAGGTTTGGTATTCGAACCTTTGATTTGTTGCGGTAAAGTTGATTCCATTATTGTTATCGTTCTTTTGTGGTTTTACTTTCGCTTACTTTTTCTTTATTGACGTCTGTCGATATTTGTGCTAATGTTTTTCCTTTCTTTGCTTTGGCCTGTTGCTGCTTCCTTGCACGATAAGAAATCCTCCATTCCAGAAGCTTTCTAGTTTTGTGCCCTATGCCCTACCTTTTTTTGCATCTAAGTTGCTTGTGATAAACCGAACTCGCTTTCAATTTCATCAGTTTGATCGGTTTGTTTTTCTTCCATGGTTCTTTCTGTCAGTAATTGATATGGAATCGTTGAAATTTCTAGCTGTTCGGGGACTTTTTCTTGTTCTGCTGCTCTCTTCTGCGGCGGTGAGTTCAGTAATTGGAATCGGAGTGAACTGGGGAACTCAATCTACTCATCCGTTGCCGCCGGCTACGGTGGTGAAGTTGCTGAAGGATAATGGCATTCAGAAGGTTAAGCTTTTTGACGCCGATCCTGTAGTTCTAAACGCTTTAGCCAAGTCAGGGATTGAAGTGATGGTAGGAATTCCAAACGATATGCTCTATAGCTTGGCGAATAGCATCCAAGACGCTGAAAATTGGGTTGCCAAAAACTTGTCGTCTTATATTTCGTCCACAAGTGTCGATATAAGGTAAAGACAAAACAATGAACAATCGCTCTCCAATCTATCTTTAGACTTTATCTGATTCAATTCAACAACTGCTGATGTGTTTGTGAGATTGTTTTCTTGCTTGAAATCTGCTTTTGTTGGCTGTTTCTCCTGAATTTGCTGCAAGAAACCATGGAATTCGCTTGAGTTTTGTTCCTTTGAATTATTGTCCTGTGATTTGTCTCATTCAGATGGAGGATTTTCACTTTTGACTACTTATGTTTTGCAAGGTATGTTGCAGTTGGGAATGAACCGTTCTTGAAGACCTTCAATGGAAGCTTTCTTGGAACTACTTTTCCTGCTCTTCAAAATATTCAAGCTGCCATTGTCAAGGCTGGTTTAAGCACTAGGGTTAAAGTGACGGTGCCTATGAATGCTGATGTTTATCAGAGTCTAACAACTGTACCTTCTGGTGGTGACTTTCGTTCTGATATCCATGACCTTATGCTTTCCATTGTCAAATTCTTGAGTGACAGTGAATCCCCTTTTACTGTCAATATCTACCCCTTCATTAGCCTTTATGCAGATCCCAATTTCCCTATTGACTACGCCTTCTTCGATGGCTTCTCCCAAGCTTTGGACGATAACGGTCGAGTCTACGACAATGTGTTTACTGCAAACTACGACACCCTTGTTTCATCTTTGCAGAAAAATGGCTTCCCTAACATGTCCATAATAGTTGGGGAGATTGGATGGCCAACAGATGGAGACAGGAATGCAAATTTGCAGTTTGCCAAGAGGTTCAGCCAAGGCTTTCTCTCGCGCTTTGTTTCGGGACAGGGAACGCCAATGAGACCTGGTCCTATTGATGCATACTTGTTTAGTCTTATTGACGAAGACGCCAAGAGCATTCAGCCAGGCAATTTCGAACGTCATTGGGGTCTATTTTACTACGACGGTCGGCCTAAATACATGCTTCAAATGGCAAACGGCACACGTAGTTTAGTACCCGCATCAAATGTCAAGTATCAAGCAAAACAATGGTGTGTCCTGTCCCCATCAGCCAGCCTCGACGATCCACAAATTGCCCCAAGCGTTAGCTACGCTTGCGAAAACAGCGATTGCACGAGCCTTGGCTTCCAGACATCATGTGGGGCGCTAGACGCTCGGCAAAACATCTCTTATGCATTCAACAGCTACTACCAGATAAAGAATCAGGTGGCAAGCTCCTGTAAGTTTCCTCATCTCTCTGTTATTTCAACTCAAGATCCATCAGTTGGAAGTTGCAGGTTCATTGTGATGACACAGCCTTCTGAAGTTGCTGTGAATGAAAAATCAAAGGCTCTGAGGTATTCTGCTGGATCATTGCTGTTGTTTCTCTGTTTTTTTATTCTAGCAGTTCTGTGATCAAAAACTACAGAGATTCCTCCATCTCTTTGATTTATATATGTTTATGCAGTCAAAATCTGTAAGTTTATATTTTGAGTTGTAATATTACATTGAAAAAATCGATCAATCTCCAAAATATGGCTTTTAAAAGTATATTAGTTGAACAAAATTTTGAGTTTCATTTGTTGTTGCTGCTTTTTTTTAGTGCATATTCCTAATTAGAATGAATCTATATGAAGTAAAGCATGTGAAGAAAGATTTGGAGTTACAATCATGAAAACAATTGTATTTAATCAACCATCATAAGTATATCAAAATTTTATTTCATTTTTTCTTCCATGAAGGGAGAAAAGAGGCAACAAAAAGCCAATTTCGAAAATCGACATACACATTACTCGTGAAATCCTAAGGAGCGATCCTTTGTGGGTCACGAGGGAACAACGAGGTTTTGCGGATGTTATTCAAACCACAGAAAAGCATCACGACACGCTCCAAACCTACTCCGAATCCACCATGAGGAGGAGCACCATATCTGTAACGAAAGCATTCAAGTGAAGAACTCGACATTCACAAATTGAACCTCGCTTACACGGTTAAATTTCGACTTTGAGTAAAGGGAAAACCAATAGGACAAATTACAGAGAAGTCGTGATAAGAGAAACGTACCTGAACGAATCGATGTATGTTTCTATGGTTTTTACATCAATCCCACATGCTTGTGCACGTTCGGCCAGAAATTCTGGTACATGAACACGCTGAGCCCCGGAAATGATTTCTTCCCCTAAGTAGTTTCAAGATATATAGAATGAATACATAATCCAAATCTTAGTGCTAAGAACAGTCAAGAAATGAATAGAGATGAAATAATAAAATGTATACCTCTAATGAAGACGTCGAATGAGTTGCTATAAGTTGGATTATCATAGCAAGGCATAGTATAGAATGGCCTAACAGCCAAAGGATATCGGTGAAGAATGTAGAACTCTGTGCCATATCTATAATTAGGAAAGTTCAATCAGCAAGCAATCTAAAGATATATAGTCATTTTACAAAACCGTAACGAAGAAAGTAGGGGCACGAATTACTTCTCTAAGACGAGCTGTCCCAATTTCCTCTCGGCCTCTGTATTAAGATCCCCAAGAGGATCAATTTCGACACCGGCATCCTGACGAGATTCATACATAACAAAGAACAAAATATCACAACATTTCGAACTTACATCGTGTTCCTTACTCAAAAAAGAAAAGGAAAACTTTGACCCCTCACCTTCAGCATCTGAATTCCTTCCTCAAACGTAAGTCGTAGAGTGGTTCGTAAGTACTGCATATTCATGAACTCGGATCAAAGATCGAAATGAGAAGAAATCATTCAAATATTCTAACTCAGTCATAACCATAAGAATATCAAACACTACGGCACTACGAAGATTTCTAGGAAGTAGGTAATTAACAAAGAAGTTCACCTTCAACGGTTCGAAAGGATACTGTCTATCAATAGCTTCAAGCTCCTTCTTACAGTTTTCATTCAAACTGTCAAACATTTTGACGAACAAACGGTCCACAATGTTCATGACCTTCACAAAAAAAGAAATAAATCAAACGAAGTATCAAATAAAGATGGCCATGATAAATAAATAGTCAACATAGAGTGTGAGATCCCACATCAGTTGGGGAGGAGAACGAAGAATTTTTTATAAGGGTATGTAAACCTCTCCCTAGCAGACACGTTTCAAAAACCTTAAGGGAAAGCCCAAAGAGGATAATATCTGCTAGCGGTGGGCTTGGATCGTTACCGTTGGTATCAGAGCCAGATATTGGGCAATGTGTCAGCAAGGAGGCTAAGTCCCGAATGGGGGTGGACACGAGACGATGTGCCAACGAGGAGGCTAAATCCCAAAGGGAGGTGGACACGAGGCAATATGCCAGCAAGGATGATGTGCCCCGAAGGGAGGTGGATTGGGGGATCCCACATTGATTGGAGAAGGAAACGAGTGTCAACGAGAACGTTGAACACTGAAGGGAGGTGAATTGTGAGATCCCACATCGATTGAGGGTAGAATAAAGCATTCTTCATAAGGGTGTGGAAACCTCTCCCTAACCGACACGTTTTAAAATCCTTGAGGGAAAGTCCGAAAGAGAAAGCCCAAAGAGGACAATATCTATTAGTGGTGGGCTTCGATCGTTACGTAGAGCATTACCTCAAAATAATGAGTTTTGATCTCCATTTCAACATCAAGTCCTGTAAATTCACACAGATGCCTATGTGTGTAAGAATCCTCCGCTCTGAAAACAGGACCGATCTCAAATACACGCCCAAAGTCGCCACAGATAGCCATTTGCTTATGTAGCTGCGGCGACTGCGCCAGACAAGCGGGCTGGCCTTTGTAATCCAACCTAAACACAGAAGCACCACCTTCACTGGATCCCCCAATCAACTTTGGAGTATGGATTTCAACAAAACCTTCAGACAACAGAAATTGTCTAAATATCTGCATAATTAGAATTTGTTCAATGACCAAGTTTCTTTAAACAAAAGCAGCAAACAATAAGGGTGAAGAGCATCAGGCTACAATTATCGATAATGAGGCCACAAAAAGTCCACCAGTAAAGAATTTATACTTCCTAAACATGGCCAATGAACTATGCAATAATTTAAAATGCTTATGGCGGCTTCTAGGCTTTCCCTCGTGGACAAGTAAGGCGTATGCTCGTCGTGAACAAAAAGTATAAAAACGTGGCACCTTATAATCATAATGTTATGATACTTTAAATCAACAAGAAATTTTTCACTTATCCATATATCATGAGATGTAACTTAAAGTTTAAAATTTAAAATTTTTAGAATTTTCATTATGCAGTGAGGCCGATGTCTTTGATGCCTTCTAAGGCCTAAGGGTGGAGGCGTGCGCCTCAACATCAGAGGCATAAGACTAGAGGCACATCACAACTGCCTTGCTTCGAGGCACGCCCCAACTGATTTTGAAAACATTAGAACTACGCAATGGGAATCAAGCTGGCTGACTGTGGTAGATATAGTTGACATAATCAATTTTGAATGAAGGTTGTGTGCTTCAATTTCGTATCGTTTAACACATCAGCTTAGATCAACAATTAAATGAACAAGAAGATAGAAAATAAGAAAGAAAACTCACAGCTCCAACTTGACATTGAATTCGAAAAATTCCTTGGTTAGCGGGAGTTCGTATGTCAAGGACTCTGTAGTTCAACCGCGTATCCTGGTTAACACGAACTAGTTGCTCACCAGCCTGCGAGCAAAAAAGAAGTCTCGTATAAAAAAGGATGTCTACAGATCATTTCTTGAAAATCTATTAAAACTTCCACTGCATTTCAAATTCATTACAAAGAACAACAAACATTAGACAATCAAGCACAATGAGGATTACATCAAAAGAAAGTGAAAACAAAACATACCTGCAACGCTTTCTCAATTTCAGCTTCACTACGAGCGGCGTCCTCAATATTTATAGGCAGAGTAGGCATTGCCTTACTGATGCAATATACTTTCCTTACTTGAATCTCCACCTGCTGTGTAGCTCCTTTGATGGCAACATTGGGCACAGACACGACTCCTTCAACGTCAACAATAGACTCACGGCTCAATCCAACGACATACTTAACCATCTGGCGACTGAGAAGCTCTGGCTGCTCTGACACAACGCATTGCACAGTGAATCCCTTTTCTCTCACTACCAAAAATGCCATCTTCTTGGCAACAGCACGAATCGTCTGAACTCGTCCACGCAACAACACATACTTATCTTTAAGCTCCCCTGTCAAAGAGCCAACCTGAGTCCAATTATCAATATTCTTAGCCTCTTTGGATTGGAGGTTGGAGAGTGGAACATCGCCATAGTTAGCCGATAGCGGGTCGTCCTCAACATCAAGAGACGAAATGGAAACTTCAGCAGCTGCTTCCTGGCGACGACGCAACTTCTCCTGCTTAGCAGCCTCCTTCTTAGCAGCCTTCTTGCTGACGCCGGCAGAGAGCGACTCGTCCATGGGAGTTTCAGATGAAGCGGACATGTTGCAGAGAGCGGGTTGTAGGAGTAGAATTGAGGAATGAGATATGGAAATTTGGACTCCACACTCGGAGAACCTTCGCAAATTTAAAAAAAAATGCATGGATTCATTCTCTTATTTCCATAAATTCAAAGTACCATGGAACCTAACAAATTTTTTACAAAAAAAATGTCTGGATTCATGCTGTCTTTTCCATAAATTCAAAGCATCATCGATTATTGAATTGATTGATTTAAGGACAGAATTTCACTAAAAAAAGAAAAAAACTCATCGTCTTCTACGAACTATAATCTACAAAAATACAAGGTCAATCAATCAAGCAATGAATTAAAAGACAATTGGATGACGGGTTCATGTCCGAATCAGAACAGTCAAACACAAACCACGTCCCAATTTTGCCGCAAGGCTGTTTCCTTTTGGTTGCGATTCGGCTATTGTTAATAAACCCAAAAAACAGATCAAAAAACTCCTCCATTCTTCCATTAGACAAGTTATAATTTACGTGTTTTCAAGTGAGAAGAAATACATATATGGAATTTGGAAGAATAGCATAAACAACAAGGGAGTAAAAAAATCAGCGCAGTACCGCTAGGGAAGCCTTCAGCGGCACGAGCGGTAGAAAGAAGACCGCGGCGACGGCAGTAAACGGGAGAGAGGCGGCGGCGGAAATGAACAGAAGAGACGGCGTGAAAAATAAGAAGTGGCGTGGAGGAAGGATAAATGAGTGGGGACTTCTCCTTTTGTTTCTCACTATTTTAGTGCTATTTTTTTTAAAAATATTTGAAAATGATTAATAAATTTAGATACAGATTAATTTTATATTTTATTTAGGGAAATTAATTTATCAACCCCATAATAATTTACAACCAGCCATATAACTTTCATTTCTAATAACACCAATTAATATTGTTTATATTAAATTAAGTTAAATTAATAAAAATATTCATAAAAAATAATAAACATAAAAAACGATCGCTAAAAATAAATGAAAATTTTCAAACGTAGACAATTTTCACGTAATCGCAGACGTAAACAGTTTCTATGCTTAACTCGCAGTTTCTATGCTTAACTTGCCGACTCTAGACAGTTTCTAGAGTAGACGGGACAATATCTATGCTTTTCTTTTTCC